AACAGACAGAGAGTACAGCAACGCAGACCTACACACGCTCCTGTCTACCCAACAGAGGAAGTACAGCAACGCAGACCTACGCACGCTCCTGTCTACCCAACAGACAGAGAGAGAGTACAGCAACACACACCTACACACGCTCCTGTCTACCCAACAGACAGAGAGAGAGAGTACAGCAACGCAGACCTACACACGCTCCTGTCTATCCAACAGAGAGAGAGAGAGAGTACAGCAACGCAGACCTACACACACTCCTGTCTACCCAACAGAGAGAGAGATTACAGCAACACAGACCTACACACGCTCCTGTCTACCCAACAGAGAGAGAGAGAGAGTACAGCAATGCAGACCTACACACGCTCCTGTCTACCCAACAGACAGAGAGAGTACAGCAACGCAGACCTACACACGCTCCTGTCTACCCAACAGACAGAGAGTACAGTAACACAGACCTACACACACTCCTGTCTACCCAACAGACAGAGAGTACAGCAACACAGACCTACACACGCTCCTGTCTACCCAACAGAGAGAGAGTACAGCAACGCAGACCTACACACGCTCCTGTCTACCCAACAGACAGAGAGAGTACAGCAACACAGACCTACACACGCTCCTGTCTACCCAACAGACAGAGAGAGTACAGCAACACAGACCTACACACGCTCCTGTCTACCCAACAGACAGAGAGTACAGCAACACAGACCTACACACGCTCCTGTCTACCCAACAGACAGAGAGAGTACAGCAACACAGACCTACACATGCTCCTGTCTACCCAACAGACAGAGAGAGAGTACAGCAACACAGACCTACACACGCTCCTGTCTACCCAACAGACAGAGAGAGAGAGTACAGCAACACAGACCTACACACGCTCCTGTCTACCCAACAGAGGAAGTACAGCAACGCAGACCTACACACGCTCCTGTCTACCCAACAGACAGAGAGAGAGTACAGCAACACACACCTACACACGCTCCTGTCTACCCAACAGACAGAGAGAGAGTACAGCAACACAGACCTACACACGCTCCTTTCTACCCAACAGAGAGAGAGTACAGCAACGCAGACCTACACACGCTCCTGTCTACCCAACAGACAGAGAGAGTACAGCAACACAGACCTACACACGCTCCTGTCTACCCAACAGACAGAGAGAGTACAGTAACACAGACCTACACACGCTCCTGTCTACCCAACAGACAGAGAGAGAGTACAGCAACACAGACCTACACACGCTCCTGTCTACCCAACAGACAGAGAGAGTACAGCAACACAGACCTACACACGCTCCTGTCTACCCAACAGACAGAGAGAGTACAGCAACACAGACCTACACACACTCCTGTCTACCCAACAGAGAGAGAGTACAGCAACGCAGACCTACACACGCTCCTGTCTACCCAACAGACAGAGAGAGTACAGCAACACAGACCTACACACGCTCCTGTCTACCCAACAGACAGAGAGAGAGAGTACAGCAACGCAGACCTACACATGCTCCTGTCTACCCAACAGAGGAAGTACAGCAACGCAGACCTACACACGCTCCTGTCTACCCAACAGACAGAGAGTACAGCAACACAGACCTGCACACGCTCCTGTCTACCCAACAGACAGAGAGAGTACAGCAACGCAGACCTACACACGCTCCTGTCTACCCAACAGACAGAGAGAGTACAGCAACACAGACCTACACACGCTCCATTCTACCCAACCGAGAGAGATAGTAGAGCAACGCAGACCTACACACGCTCCTGTCTACCCAACAAACAGAGAGAGTACAGCAACACAGACCTACACACGCTCCTGTCTACCCAACAGACAGAGAGAGAGAGTACAGCAACGCAGACCTACACATGCTCCTGTCTACCCAACAGAGGAAGTACAGCAACGCAGACCTACACACGCTCCTGTCTACCCAACAGAGGAAGTACAGCAACACAGACCTACACATGCTCCTGTCTACCCAACAGAGGAAGTACAGCAACACAGACCTACACACGCTCCTGTCTACCCAACAGAGAGAGAGAGTACAGCAACGCAGACCTACACACGCTCCTGTCTACCCAACAGAGAGAGAGAGTACAGCAACGCAGACCTACACACGCTCCTGTCTACCCAACAGAGAGAGAGAGTACAGCAACGCAGACCTACACACGCTCCTGTCTACCCAACAGACAGAGAGAGAGAGTACAGCAACGCAGACCTACACACGCTCCTGTCTACCCAACAGAGAGAGACAGTACAGCAACGCAGACCTACACACGCTCCTGTCTACCCAACAGAGAGAGAGTACAGCAACGCAGACCTACACACGCTCTTGTCTACCCAACAGACAGAGAGAGAGAGTACAGCAACACAGACCTACACACGCTCCTGTCTACCCAACAGAGAGAGAGTACAGCAACGCAGACCTACACACGCTCCTGTCTACCCAACAGACAGAGAGAGAGTATAGCAACACAGACCTACACACGCTCCTGTCTACCCAACAGAGGAAGTACAGCAACACAGACCTACACACACTCCTGTCTACCCAACAGAGGAAGTACAGCAACACAGACCTACACACGCTCCTGTCTACCCAACAGAGGAAGTACAGCAACACAGACCTACACACGCTCCTGTCTACCCAACAGAGAGAGAGAGTACAGCAACGCAGACCTACACACGCTCCTGTCTACCCAACAGACAGAGAGAGAGAGTACAGCAACGCAGACCTACACACGCTCCTGTCTACCCAACAGACAGAGAGAGAGTACAGCAACGCAGACCTACACACGCTCCTGTCTACCCAACAGAGAGAGAGAGTACAGCAACGCAGACCTACACACGCTCCTGTCTACCCAACAGAGAGAGAGTACAGCAACGCAGACCTACACACGCTCCTGTCTACCCAACAGACAGAGAGAGAGAGTACAGCAACACAGACCTACACACGCTCCTGTCTACCCAACAGAGAGAGGGTACAGCAACGCAGACCTACACACGCTCCTGTCTACCCAACAGACAGAGAGAGAGTACAACAACACAGACCTACACACGCTCCTGTCTACCCAACAGAGAGAGAGTACAGCAACGCAGACCTACACACGCTCCTGTCTACCCAACAGACAGAGAGAGAGTATAGCAACACAGACCTACACACGCTCCTGTCTACCCAACAGAGTAAGTACAGCAACACAGACCTACACACGCTCCTGTCTACCCAACAGAGGAAGTATAGCAACACAGACCTACACACGCTCCTGTCTACCCAACAGAGAGAGAGAGTACAGCAACGCAGACCTACACACGCTCCTGTCTACCCAACAGACAGAGAGAGAGAGTACAGCAACGCAGACCTACACACGCTCCTGTCTACCCAACAGACAGAGAGAGAGTACAGCAACGCAGACCTACACACGCTCCTGTCTACCCAACAGAGAGAGAGAGTACAGCAACGCAGACCTACACATGCTCCTGTCTACCCAACAGAGAGAGAGTACAGCAACGCAGACCTACACACGCTCCTGTCTACCCAACAGACAGAGAGAGAGAGTACAGCAACACAGACCTACACACGCTCCTGTCTACCCAACAGAGAGAGAGTACAGCAACGCAGACCTACACACGCTCCTGTCTACCCAACAGACAGAGAGAGAGTACAACAACACAGACCTACACACGCTCCTGTCTACCCTACAGAGAGAGAGTACAGCAACGCAGACCTACACACGCTCCTGTCTACCCAACAGAGGAAGTACAGCAACACAGACCTACACACGCTCCTGTCTACCCAACAGACGAAGTACAGCAATGCACTCGGGCGCTGCGGCAGCTCTGTGACTTGCCACGTTGCCTGACAATGAAACTGTGTGCGTGTGCCGTGTGCTCCTTCCCGTGTGAGCGCGCAGGTGACAGCGCTCAAGGACCGGAAAGATAAAATTCTGTGCAGGACCAAAGCCACGTGTGTGGCCGGCGTGGGCCTGGGGGCCACATCCACGGGAGACGGAGGAGGCCTGCGTTTATGTGAGGAAGCAATAACCAACCAGAACATTCTAGAAACGGAACCACTAGTTCTTGGTAGTTGCCTCGGCCTTTAGACTAGAGTGGAGTTGTGGCCTCTGGAGGATCATGGATTCGCAGCTAGCTTGGACTCCTGGCTCAATGGAGATTGCTAGGCAGTGTCATCATCCGCCTCGAATTGCAAATGATGAAGCTACTGTGCAACACACAAACACACAGACCTCCTAACCAGAGAAGCTAAGCAGTAGCTTTCTGTGTTTGTAGAGGACGGTGCGGGTGTGTGGTGCCAGTTAGGTCTCGGTAAACGCGCCGAGCATCTGCATGCTGCTGGCTCTGAGGAGGATGGGCTGCCGTTGCTTTCTGACTGCACAGGAAGGCAGATGAGCAACAAGACGGTGACAGCCCGGGGGGGGGGGGCGTCCAGAGGCAAAATCAGAGACTAGCGGGGCAGCGCGGGGTCGCCCAGGGAGAGAAAGGGCCAGCCCAGCCCCGGGCTCTCCAGGGGAGATGCAGGGAGGTCTGGAAGACCCCTCGGGCTGCTGCGGAAGAACCAGCGGGGTTGGGGTCAGGGACAGAACCTGCTGGAGCCGGATGGCAGGCGCGGGGCAGTGTCACTAGGCAGGTTGGTGTTAGGAGTTGGTTTCCGTGGAGTCACACAGCGCGTGCCTGTCCTCTTCCCGTGAGCCCCACGGGCAGAGTTGGACAGATTCCGAGCCTCTGAAAGGAGGGAGAAGCTCTGGCGTTGGAGCCCTGGGGCTCCGCGTGTGCGGGAGGGCCCCACACACGCCAGAGCGCAGCTGCGCGGCCCGGCCGGCCGCGGTACAGGTGAGAGGCAGGCCCAGCGGGAGGCACAGGTAAAGGTCAAGTCAGGTCATTCACGCAAGTAACAAAAGCGATCTGCACATGACTCCTGAGACCCGAGGGGCGTGGGGCCGAGGGAGGAGGGGCGGCGAGTGAGCCGTGCGTGCGTGGGGCGCGGGGCTTACCGTGTGCAGCCCCAGGCCCTCCAGCATGTAGAGCAGGTCCTCGGTGGCCACATTGCTGGAGGCCCCCGGCGCGTAGGGGCAGCCGCCCAGCCCGGACACGGCCGCGTCCACCACGCTCACGCCCATCTGGAAAACAAAGCACAAGGCCCGGCGGGCCACTCACACGTGTGTGCCAGACACGCGCTCCACCCGCAGCAGAGGCACGCACGCTCCACACCCCCTCACAGACCCCATGCCACGGCCGTGCCGGCCAGCTCCTCTCCTGGACCACAGCGCCGCGGCTCAGGCCCCGGTGCGCGAGCAGGCGGACATGGAAGTGCGTGAGCTGACAGAACCAGGACGCGAGGCGGCGAGCTGTGGTTAGGACCCGTCCACACCCAGGCCTCACAGCCGCCAGTGCCAGCTCAACCCACCAGCCTCATCAGCAACCTGAAACAACCCCAGCGCCCCCGCTGGAGACCAAGACGCCTCAAAAGACCAGCAATGGGGGCCGGGGCCGGGGGACTGATGTGTGTGATCTAATTTTGTAGGCTCAGGTCATCCATTCGATTCACACTTTTGATGGAAACGCCGCTTTACACACAGATCCAGGCCGCTCTGCAAGCAAAGGGTATTTAAGAGGCAGCACAATAGCAGCCACGCCAGCCGTGCCTGCTGGGCTATAAAAACGCTAACAATCTCGGGTCTCTGCGTTCCCCGCCCCATCATGGATTTTGGATGAACGGCCACAAGATGGCAGTACAGTACAGGACTGCTCCAAGCTCAACTCCAGCCTTCCAGCCCCAGGAAGGGGCAGAGAGGATCCTAGTTTTATAGTTATCAAATACTTATCACATTTAAAATAAGCACACACTCACTGGTGGCACCGGACGCGTGGAACTGCACTCAATATGTCCAATTCAGGCTTGCTGATTCCTCCTTCGACTTGTCTGTCCTTAAACCAACAACATTCGACACAAAAATCCTGTAGCTGGTGGGACTCACTGTTGGAAGCCATTCTAGATCGGTGTTCATGTTAGCTGATGAGAAGCAATTGTTCCTGAAGCTTAAAAATCTCTCAAAGCACCAACATCTCCTTGGCTCCCTCTTTTCTTACAGCCCGTGATTCAAGCTATGAATCAGAGCCCTGCCCGCCGCTGGGATGCTCAGCCGTGCAAACCTCTACCCTACAGAGAGCTACCTGCGCCTGAATCGGAGTGGGGCCACACCGGGGACAGACAGACAGACCACAGACACACTACGCGCCCTGCAAACGTAATACGGTGCGGCCAGTCACGTGAGCCCACTGGAAGAGAAAATTGGGGCTCCAAAGAATTTGTCTGAAGGAGCACAGGGTGAACATCGTGCGTACTGTCCAGGATGAATAGTTAACCGACAGCATCGACTATGTGTCAGGCTGCTGAGCAGGCTTCATATGGATTCTCCATTTAATTTGTAAAAAATGATGGCAAGACACAGAGGAGGACTTGGAAAGAGAGCGCTGGGAAATCTGAGGAAGACTGGAAGAAGAGCGCGCTGGGAAGCCCAAAGAGTCTTTTTTCAAGTCTCACAGATTTCCACTCCACTTAGCAACATTATCAGGAGCGTTCAGGGAAGAAATGTTGGGAGTGCACGTGACAGTCCCAGAAAAGAGCCAGAAAGGTTGAGATAGCATGACGGTCAAAAATGGATATTCTTTTATAATTCTTAAAAGAGTCGAAGTTAAGTCTAAGTCAAACGTATGGGAGGAAAATAGTTCAGAGACTGTGTAAAATGGACTGTATATGACCCAGGTAAATATTTTCACAGAATATATAATGGTTAGGAAAAATAATCTTCAGAAAGTGAGAGGGGAAAAAAACCAGCAATGATGTGTGGTAGCACTCACTTGGGTTTCTGGATTTCCTCAGCCCTCTGCAATAACTACACACCCCTCAAGCACTCAGGACGAGTGAACCTTACTAGCAAGCGTGCCCTTCGCGTTCACAGCCATTGTCTTCAGCCAGCACAACATGCCCGGACGTTTTCTGGCCCATCGCTGGCTCTCATTTACTAGATGCAACGCACGTCCTCTGGACAATTCCTTGCTGCACTGGCTACACCTTCCTGTTTTTGAGTGGATGCAGAAGTGTGTGTGTGTGTGTGTGTGTGTGTGTGTGTGTGCACGAGCATCAGTACTGGGACTGGACCTCAGGGCCTTACACTCTCTCTTGGCTTTTTTTGCTCATGGCTGGTGCTCTACTACGTGAGCCATGCCTCCAGTTCTGACTTTTTCACGGTTCATTGGAGACCAGGGTCTCTCAGGTTTGCCTGCCTGGGTTGGCTTCAAACCTCCTTGATCCTCAGATTTTCCGCTTCCTGAGTAGCTAGGATTTTAGCATGATGTGTATAACAACATTCACATAAACACTTTAAAATGTCCCTCAAATGCTATCCCACGACTACACCGAAGACACCCACAAATGAATATATATGCAGTCATCCTTTTCTGTGTTGAACTAGCCGTCTGTTCATGTGTGTGTGGCTATGCTTCATAACGGCCCTAATATGAACTCTCATGTGGGAAGAATGGTCCCCACACCGCGCAGCCTCTGTGAGCGCGCAGGCCTGCTTCGTGGGGTTGTTCTGCTCTTGCTCACCACCTCAGCCAAGTGCCAAGCCTTGCTCCTCACACCATCACAGCCATCCTGGAGTAATCTGATCAAGGTTTATGGGACAGTTAATAAATGCTCACATGCCCCTGAAAGATATAGCCTTGCCCAACATATTTTACAGAGGCGAGATACTGCAGGCAACCTAGCTTACTAATGAAAATGGAAATCCAACACCTATCACAAAACAAAGTGCTACAACAGCATCATAGCCAGATGGTAAACCGATGATCGATGATAGATGGAGACAGAAATAATTAGCCATCTTACATATACATATTTCAGATGTATATGGTATCCACAGTTTATGTAACGATATTTGTAGGTCTATATAAATGTTTTATAGTAAATGTTAATTAGCGAGAATGCTACATTTATAATGCTGATTATTTTATATATAACCCAGAATTAATTTTCAACTTGATAGTTCTCTAAACTGGATTCTATATGTGTACAAACAACTCATTCCTCTTTACTAGAGAAAATCAAAAAACACGTGTGATTCATAGAAAGTTGCTCTTAACCTTTATTTGGTCTTTTCACTGGCCACATTTGTAAATGTTACTGAGGCTGAAAGAGATTTCTCAGCATACCCCGGAGGAGTGGCGTTGGTTTTGTCGGTAGCTCTCCCTTAACTGAGGCTGACCTGGGGACAGTCACCTGACTTCTGTTTACCTCGTTTCCACACTCTTTTAAAACTGTCGAAAGCTGGTTACCAGTGGCTCACACCTGAAATCCAAGCTACCTGTGCGTTTGGGATCTAAGGATCACTGTTCAAAGCCAACCCAGGCAGAATTGTACCTCCAATTACCCAGCAAAAAGTCAAAATTGGAGGCATGGCTCAAGTGGTAGAGAGCATCCTGAGTGAAAAAATAAAGGAGACCACCCTGGGTTCAAGCCTGGGCAGGCTGGGGGCAGCTCCTTACACAGGACCCTCAAAGTTTTATTTTTTAATGTATAAAAACAGTTCTTAAAAATAGAAAAAATAGAGTTTCTCGGAATTATCCTAATTATAGCAGCCATGAGCGATAAAGGCTGGAGTATGACGTCTTTCGAAGTCCTGCTATTACACGTGCCAGACCTGGTCTGGTCTCAGCACGGTCTGGCATGGCACGTGGTCTCGTGGGCGGCACGCTGGACTGCGGCTGGTCGCAGTGTGGCCTGGTCACAGCTTGGCCCAGTATTTACAGGGTGGCGTCGTCTGATGGCGGCACGGTGAAGTTTTGTATTAGTACAGCAGTCTGAATATTTCCTGATGAAGCACAGTGTATTTGTCTTTCAGATATATTATTCTCCTTAGGGAAAAAAAAAGAACATCTAACAGATGTCTTTCAGACAGATGCATCCTCAGACTTCAAAATGCTCTGTAAGCTCTGGATTCCTCCAAGATCCTCAGTAAAACATCGCGGCCTCCTCCCCGGGTGCAGGTTCATCTGGTCCACAGTGGGCCACTGGCCCCGCTGCACGGCCCCCTGTCCAAGGGGCAAAGCGTTCCCTATGCTGCGGCTCGGTAGTGCTGCTGTTTATCTTCCCGTTTTTGAGCCTGGATTTTTTTTTAACCAGCCATTTCTGCAGGTTAGTAGCATGTTAAATTTCCATGTCAACACTGCTTATGCGTCGTTACAGCGGCAGCGGCGGCAGCTCAGCGTTCCTCTGACCGAGTGCGACGTCTCGCCGTGAGACGCAACGGGCTGCATTTCATCAGGACCGCCACCCTCCCGCCTCGGCCACCGGCTCTGCAACCCAGTCTCCCAAGTCAGCGCTGCCGCCACGGAGCCAGACCCCAGCGAAGCGGGGCCGGGCCGGGAGCGTCCGAGGGAACGGCGGCCCTGCGTGGCCACGCCGGCGTGCTGCTGAGGCAGCGGAGATTTTTCTTTCTTTTAGAGAAAATGTTTTTGGAGTCAAAAGAAGAAACATGTGGAATGCATTCCCAGCCCTGGGAGTCTCCAGCTGTGAATGACACATGGAATGACTTTTGAAACAAGAAAGGTGCGTCCTCATGTGCCTTGGAGGTGATGGTCCTGGGGTGGGATTCTGTGTTCACCACCGTGGGCCGCCCCCACCACAAACCATCGGTAAAAGTTCCTCGTAGCCCTAGGAGGGGGCCGGGGGCCGGAAGGTGGAGGCAGAAATGGAGCATCGCGGAAGAAGAGGAGGAGGTGGAGGAGGAGGAGCAGGAGGAGGAGGAACAGGAGGAGCAAGAAGAAGAGGAGGAGCAGGAGGAGAAGCAGGAGGAGGAGGAGGAGGAAGTGGAGGAGGAGGAAGAGGAGCAGGAGGAGGAAGAGGAGGAGCAGGAGGAGCAAGAAGAAGAGGAGGAGCAGGAGGAGGAGCAGCAGGAGCAAGAAGAAGAGGAGGAGGAGGAGGAGGAAGTGGAGGAGGAGGAAAAGAAGCAGGAGGAGGAAGAGGAGGAGCAGGAGGAGCAAGAAGAAGAGGAGGAGCAGGAGGAGGAGCAGAAGGAGAAGCAGGAGGAGGAGGAGGAGGAGGAGTAGGAGGAGG